GTGAAAATATACATATCAAAATGATTATTTAGGAGAATGTGGAATTAGACCATTTTCGAAATAAACGTAAGCATATTTTTTCAATAAAGTTTGCGCTTAATATACCACTTTGTGTACATATATATACGCAAGATTTATATATACATATACATATAAATATATATATGTGTTAACGTATATGCAATATGTATATCTGCATATATAAATATATATACATATAAATGTATATATAAATATAGCTACATATAAAATATTAATTTTTAATAAACTTTAATCCAAGTTAACATTGATACATTGTTGGCTCTTTACATGTGTTTCTGGTAACCAGAAAGCATTTAATGAACTATAAAGTGCGAATAATGCGACCTTAATACAATTTTTTTTTTTTTTTTTATTATTAAGCTTTGTTTTTTTTTTTTTTCTCTTTAAGCCGGCTAAACTGCTAAACTGGTAAAGTAGTGTAGACAGATATTCGTATAGTCGAGGTTGAACAGAAAATCACATAAATTTCAATTTGTTTTTTGTTATTGTGGCTCGCTTTATACTCAGTTTCATATAGAGTCGTATTTTTGGCGGCTTTTTGTCATTTATACCTACGGTGTTAAAAAATTGTTTATATATAAATATTGGCACAGTCACAAACGCTACTTCAAAAGTTGTGTAGAAATTTACTTAAAACATTCTCCCGCTCCGTAACGCTGCATCTCAATGACGATTTTTAAAAGACCTTGAAAATATGTTTTTTTTTTTTTTTTTTCTTGATTGTATGCTTTAAGCAAAATGTTTAACAAAAGTATATGAGGTTTTAGGTAAATATGCTCTAAATGAGAAGGAAAAAATTATTTCATTATACCCCCCACAAACACTCAGAAGCGCACAGAGACATATGAAAAAAGCACACACCTTCACATGCAGAGACACACAATACTATTGTAAACACTCTATATCCCGTCTGCATAAATAGTTTAGTGTAAAGTGTGTTTATTGTATGTTTAACACTTATGAATCATAGCCAGTTATTTGTGTGACATCCTTAACTATAAGCTCTCATGTATGAGATATATATATATATATATATATATATATATATATATTTGTATGGGTGCGTTTATGTTTATGACCATCGCAACAGTTCACATGTATGTATATCTCTATATGCATACAGTATAAAGTTATAATACCACAACGGTGCTCTGTCCTTTCGTATGTGTGAGTGTGTGATCTCTTTACTATAACGAAAAGATGAAAAGAAGGCTTCACTAAGTGGACATGTTATAAACACTTCACTTGGCAGCACCAACACTCTACTGGCTGGTATACCATAACATTTTCTTGGCATGACATGTTAAAGAGAAAAAAATTGCAACAAACAAAAAAAAAATAAATAAATAAATAAAAAATAACGAAAAGAAAACAACAAAAAAATAAAAATATAATGTAAAGCAAATTCCAAAAGGGCGTTTTGTGTTCAGTTCAGTTTTTCTTAAACGCGCACACACACATTCTTTCATATCTTTCTTCCTTCTTTGGACAAACTATCGGTTCTAAAGTTCGGAAGAATATATATATATATATAGTATTCCAGTGTGTCAGAACATTTTTTCCTCTTCGTGTTTATAATATGATCACACTATACTTGGGTTGATGGCTCGATGTTGGGATATGAATGTGTGTGCATTTTATGTAATCCATATTCTGATTTTATCACAAAAGCATCTCTTTGCTCTTCAAAAATACAAAAAAAAAAAAAAAAAAAACAGAAAAAAAATAAATAAATAAAACAACAGCTACAACAAAGCTTCAAAGTTTTGCCAACAGCCATCTCAACATTGATCGAGAAAACCCTTTTAACCGAAAAGGACTCTCTAGTTAATGCAGAGTTATACGGTTTGAATGAGTGACTGGCTGACTGAGTGACTGAGTGACTGACTGACTGACTGACTAAATGGTTGGCACTACATTGAAAACACAAAAAATCTGTATAGTGTTGGTTATGCTAGTAGGGGGCGCAAATACTATATATGTACGTATTTGTTGTTTTTGTTTTTGGTTCTGGTAACAAAGTAAAATAATAAAATAAAAGAGAGGCGCATTGAAGTAATCATTGAGGCGTTTTTTATTTAACACGTTGCAAGCTATCAAATTACCAGCAACAACAAAAACAATAATAACTAAAATTATAGGAATAAAATATATGAAGTTGAGCGCTATGAACTGACTAAATTTTTTTTTTTAGTTAAAAAAAATAAAAGAAAAAAAAGTGATGCTACGAACGGCAGAAAGGAAACGCAAATTAAGCAGACGAGTATATGGCCATCAAACGAATTTTGAATACCCAACGTTTAATCCAATTACCTGAAGGCTAATGTAGACCTCTTTAAAGATGAATATTTATCTTAGGTATATGTGTATATATAGAAGATTTAGAATCGATCTGCTTCAGACTGTAGATTGTCTTTAAGACTTATATTTGATCTCCTTTTGCCCTGAATATTAATGTGAATTTACTGAAGATATATATGCATATATATATATATAAATATATATATATAGAGAGAGAGAGATATTTATCTATCTATAATAAGTGGTTCATTATAGGCAAATTATATACATATATATGAAAGATATCAGGTTGATATCGTTATCATTTTAATCTTAAGAGTTGTAAGTAAATAATTTGAATTGATTGATTTCTAAAGCAACTGCTTATACGTATATTATGAACACACTATTGCATGAACAGGGCCTATTCTGTTGATTTGCATAAATGGCCCAGAGAACATAGTTTCCTATGTAAGTTGAAGACTTTTCATTTGGGTACATATAAATTAGGTCGATATGAAGCGGTAATGCGGTGAAGTGTATTTTTATTTTGCAATTTTTTTCATGTGCATCGTTGTGAAGCGTTACAAATTATTGGAAAAAGTTATATTGCCGCCGTCATAAGGTGATGGGCTTGAAATATGCACATCTAATATATATATATTTATGCGAGTATGTATATATATATGTATGTATATTTGCCATAAGTGTGAGAAAATATAGAAAAGTCGATACATATTATGAGCGTTAGTATATTTTTTTGTCGAACACTTAAATGAATATCTAAGAATTCCACTTAACTAATTAATTAATCACTTTACAAGAAAACTTGGAATGAGAACAAACGTAACTAGTATTATTTCCCGCTTAAACATCTTTAATCAAACGTTGCTTATTAATATAGAAAACAAAGCTTTGCTTTTGCAAATCAGCCAGAAGGAATATTCTACGTAAATATAAGTGAAATTTTTTAATGAAACGGTATAATATGTTATATCGGAACTTACGGATTTCCAAAAATTGCCTTATGCAAGTAACTTTTTCGTTAGTTAATATAATTTCGTTTTTGCTATGCTATGGCGTACCTCGAAGTAAAAAAAATTTAGCAAACATCTATATATATAAATAAAATTATGCTAATGGCAATGACTATCATGCGTAGCTACTGAAAACGCGTAATGTACAAACCGGAAACCTCAAAAAATTTCAATGAATTAAGACCATCCTACATTTATTATTACGTCTTAGAGAACGTTAAGAGTTACCGGGAAAACCTAGCTGTCAAGAAAACTCCTATTTGTATTATCCTCGTCTATGCAACAAGCTAGGTTATGTACCATATCTTATCATCTCCGTATATGTATTAGGTGAAGTCCTAAGTAACTTCCGTTTTTTGACCGGATATTTTTTTTTTTTTTCATTAAACATCAATATTTTATTAATTTAACACTTGATTGTGAGGAATTCAATCTTTCGCTATACCTCTTATCGATTGGCATGTATTTGCTCCAATATTATCTTTTAAAAGGAAGGACTTTAAGGTCGTATCTTCAGAGTGGAATTTTACAAGCCGGTTTCGGATTGCCCGATATGTTATCAGTCCTTCATCTATATATCTTTTCAGCTGTCGCTTTAACTCTATTGCTCTGTCTAAATTCCCATTCTCCATTTCAGAGATTAGGAAAAACAGTTGAATGTAGCCTGCACCCCATAAGACAGCCGAAAGAAGACTAACTGAATCTCTCATCCTCATTTGTTTCGGTGGCTTATTGTAGGTAAATGCGAACAATAGATTCCAATTAGCTGCCTAGGGAGTTATTTGCGACTCGACCTAATAAGAAACTAAGTTAATTACGAAAAATTTTACGAAATTGAAGTGAGATTTTATTTAATTTCCTTGCGATTTTGAGCGCTCTTTAAGACATCAGATTCATGATATCTTGGGCGTAAGTAAAACACTAAATATTTTATATTCAATTTTTCATTAGATTTTCTATTGAATATTTTGCACTTTAAAAGGTGTATTCATTCTGAGTATAGTCGTCGAAATTTGTTATTATAGTGTTTGAGAGAATTAAGGGCGAAGGGTTTATCATCGTTAACACCTCACATATGGACCGATTGTCAGATGGGTAATAAGATTTATTATATACAAACTTTGGTTTTTCTGATATCTCCAAGGCGTAGTAAAAACCTGCAGTGGCTTTATTCTCTGAAATTGTTTATAACGTAGTTTATAAATTGCACTATCGGTTCAAGAAATGTACACGAGCACTGGCTAATATTTAGTAGCAATAACTTTGGTTTTTGTTGTTGTGATGATAATATTAGAGTTATACTTTCTTATGTGGGTCGTTTTCTATAGTTTTTCCATTCTTAGAGTTACTTTGTTAGATGTCCTTTCATTTCGCGTTAAAGCAAAAGAAAGATGACACACACAGGTCAGAATATTTGGTCCTTGTAGATGTAGGGCTGTTTACATGTCGGCAAAATTTCTATAAACTCACAAACATGGGATATGTGAAAGTGCATACGCATTAAGATTCTACCCCTCACGAACCGCATCACCAAAATTATATCCTATCAATTCGTTCGATTGTTGATAAACTCACTAATAATTATAAACTTGTACTCACAAACATATAAATTTTATAAACACATCTTTAATTCTCACTTACCTCAATTATAATTAATGTATCGGTATGTTGGACACCGTCACTGACACGTACACGCAGCTTGTAATTGTTCTTTAATTCACGATCTAAAGCATCTTTAAGACGTAATTTCCCGGTATCGGGTTCTAAAAGAAATTTCCCATCATCACCGCCCAACACGCTGTATGATAATGAGCCCAAAGTATCGGGATCTGAGGCGCGTATTGTCGCAATTAGATGGCCAGCATTTAAATCTTCGCTTACATTAAATGTTAACGGAGTGTCACGAAAGACCGGTGGGCTATCATTTTTATCCAAAACTGTCACTTTAAGCTAAAAACGAAAAGGAAATAAAGAATAATAATAAAAAAAAAAAGAATAATCAAAAAAATTATAACACATCTGATATTTAACGGGACAAAAAATACGTGTATTTATATGCGAGCGATAACTTTTCCTTTTCATTCTATTATTTAATTCAATTAGTTGTTCTTTATTTTTTTATGATAATAACAACTATAAAAAAAGAAAAAGAAAACAAAAAAAAAAAAAAGAAAGAGTAACCAACCGATATCAACTGGAAAATCAGACAATTCAAAGTTTGCTAAGGCATCAAAACTGATGTTGTCCATCATGCCACACAACACCATGGTTATTCAGCAACAACAACAACGATGCATACAACAGCATTAGTTTCATCAAAAAAAAAAAAAAAAAAAACGAAGAAAAATAAAGAAAAAGATCCCATTTGGTACACACATATGAGGAGTAAACGTTTACTTGGGCTGTGACTGCGAGGTCGGTTATGAACATCTAACCATCCATTCAGCCATTCATCTGTTATAAGAGGCACGTACTGCCAGTAGCCCATAGACAGCGCCCCGTCTTACTGCCTTAACATTATGTGGTCATCGTCAACCTCGTCTTAGTCACTGTAATCAACGTCATCGTCAACATTGTCGTCGTCATCGTCATCGTCATCGTCATCATCATTGTGTATGCATCACAACAAAACTTATGTTGAAAATTGTTATTGAAGTAATAATATAATTACAGCTTTTGAGTTCACTTTAAATGTGCGTATGTGTGTATGGGTTTGCGTATGCTAGAGATTGAGAGAGAGAGAGAGAGAGAGAGAGAGAGAGAGAGAGAGAGAGAGAGAAAGAGAGAGAAAGAAAGACATAAGGAGTAAGAGAAAGAGAGAGAGAAGTAGATGAAGGGAGATGAAATATACGGGCACACACAAGACCTTTAAAAGGAAATAACTACTTTAAAAGCTAAACTTATATATGTGCCACAATAAAATATTAAATATGCATGTAACTGCACTCGCACATCGCACATCGCACATCGCACACCGCACACCGTACACCACACACACGGGCAATAGGAGCACAAAACCGTTTTCCTTCTGTCCAGTAATGTTGATACCCGACTATCAAGGAAAAGCTTGTAAATACTTGTTGCGTTTAATGTGCGTTATTTGTTATTTAAACTTCAACAAAACTACTGTTACAACAACTACAGACGACTACTTCTACTAGTGTTACTAAAGCGTACAACAGAAACAATATATAAAACATCGGTTTGTTATTGATGTTGCTATTGTTGTTGTTGTTGTTATTATTATTATTGTTATTGTTATTATTGTTGTTGCTATTTGCTAGCTAACGTATCTGTGTGGCATATATGTCACTTTTCTCTAACCACATACATAGATAGACCGACAGAAATTTAAAGGCAGCTACGCTCATTGTTCATTTTCCGTTTTTTAGAGTTTTGTTTTATCTTATGTTTGCTTTGTTTCCTTTTTTTTTTTTTTCTTTTTTTTGGTTTTGTTTTTGTTTGTTGCTGTCTCTCTGTTTAGGTTTTAGCTATGTGTAAACACTAGTCCGCAAGCATAAACTCACACACGCATATACGTGCGTGGTGCAGTTTGTCATGATTGACAATGTTGAATCGAAAATTGCTTTTCAGTTTATGTTCACTGAAAACTTACATACATTTTCTAAATTGTTTTATAATAATTTAATAGTCCGCTGTCACACAAATATATACAAAAGGAGAACAGCTTTAGAAAATCAAAAAAAAAAAAAAAAAGCAAAAAAAAAAAAAAAAAAAAAAGAAAAGAAAAGAAAAGAAAAAAGATTGTCCGAAATATTTTTTAAGGCCTTAACTTGTTATTCGCTTCAAGTTAATATTTTTTCAAACACTCATTTAACGGTAACAACAGTAATTTCATTTATTCCCACCGGGATGCGTTACTGCACGATATTGCGTATGATTGCCGGTTCTGCTAAGCATGTGGGGGGCATACTAATCTATGTATACAATTATGATTCAATTGTTTATGGCTTTTATCGTTTTAATTGAAAGCCACACAAATTAAGATAAACAATTTTTAATTTGCGTTTCCTTTACAGAAAATCCAGTTTATCTCCTCTGCAAGTAATGGGGAAATGAAATTCCATAAAATTCCAAAAACCATGAATATATTTTTTTTTAAATTTTTTTTATTTTCAAATTCTTATTTTGATCAAATGTATGCTAACCTGTTAATAGCAATACAATAAGTTTTACAAGTCATTTCAAGTTGAGTAAGTTCAATATCTTTGTTCCCTTCAATAAATTTCTCGCATTTTGGACATTAAGAGCGTAATGCATAAATTGCATTATAAAAAAAATTTCAGAAAATTAAGACCCCCCCACCCGTATTTGTGGTATGTCTCAAAGGACTTTTATTTTCAGAAAAAGCTAATATTGTCACTGTCTTGCGACTACAACGTCTTCAAAAAAGACTTTGCGTATACGTAAGAAACTAAATTAATTAATTATACACAAGTAAGAAGGCTATATTGGGCCATAGCAAACTCCACTTTAACCATCCTAACTCATTCCAGAATTATTCACATAATAGCTTTTCAAACTATATTAGAAGTGGAAATGATCGAAAAAGGCAATAGCGTTCATGCGTGGGCCAGAACATATCAATGTACTAAATTCATTAAAATACTTTAAAAGATGCGGACTATATGTCGAACATCAGGAAACAAGACGGACAGATGGACACACGGGCAGACAAGTTTAAATCCATTGAGAAAGTGATTCTGTGATTCGATGGGAGTAAAAAGAGGTTGTGCTATCCCAACTCCTTTTGGTTGTTGCGTACAACTACACAAATTATTATACCCTGAATGACAGACGTCAAGGAAGAAAATTATATTATTCGGTTGTGGCCGATGTTTTGTACAAAGCATATTTATCTTAAAATAGAATATGCTCATTTTTGTTGTAGTGCATAAACTATAAAGAGCACCCATTTTGAAGACAGAAGGATTTTTCGCATATGTTGCATTGTAGGCATTTGCTTCAACCGGCTTGATCCGTTGTTAATGCCAACTTTCGTGTAACGATGTTAATGTTTTTGCCGAGTACGATTAAAGAGACGTACGGACAGACTAATAAGGGAACGTACAATCAGGCGGCCATGTTCATATCGATAGAGAATTTGATACAGATCAATAGGTACAAAAAAATCCAGATTGTCAGGCGTCTCTAAAGTCTCATTTTAGGTGTTGCAAATATTCGGACAAATGTGTATACCTTTCGGTGGTGGGTATAAAAATTTCCGACAATTAAAATCACTCCAGATTTTTGATATATTTTAAATGATGTTTGAACCTACTAGATATGTAACATTGTGGGTCCATCGTCATCATCATAAGACCGCATGTATACCAACTCCCATATATATAACACAGAACACTTTTTTTCTGTGCTTGTTTATTATACTCTGCACCCAATAGATTTGAGATAGACCCACCTTTTGATCCCACCGACCGATTGATTTAGGCATTAATTCCGCTCATTAAAGCTTTTCTAAGATTGTCTGTCGGTCTGTCCGTTTTGCTTTCTTGTGTTCAATCTGCAGAGCGCAATTTTCCAGATGTTTTGATGCAATTTGAAACATCGACTTGTTTGTTGACTAAGGACGAAAGCCATTGAAAATGGTTTAGATCGGGCCACTTTCCCGATTGCTTCCAGTATATAACACCTTTTCTTCGAAAATCGTTATACCTTAATAAGACAAGTGGTGTAAGGTATTTAATGATGAGTTGCATCCTACTAGAGCAACTTTGCTTCTTATTGAAGCAGAGTGATTCTAGATTATAAGAATGCTTTATTGTCAACAAAGACAAGGCAAGGTAGATAGTGTTTCTCAATGACGTTTTGGTCGAGTTGGAGTTGTTCGTAATAAACAAAATCTAGCTGTCCGTTCCAAGTGGATGTGCCATTTATGGGAGGATCGTCGATCGACTTTTAACCAAAACTTATTAAAGAAGTTTTACTTTGCTCTTACTTTTGACTTATTCTCCTATTACGTGTGAGATGTTTCTGCGCACATTCGAATGAAGGAATCTACTCTGACTAAATATTTAAATAGATTTCTGAATCCCTGTGTATATCGCTCAACGTAATGGATATAAACTCATTATGTAACAATAACTAATGATAAGTTAAGCGAATTGCGTTATTTGTTGACATTTTATTGAAGTTGATCAGCTTTGCGGTGTTAAATTCCAATCACGGTTTCGATATTCAGAGCGCAATATATTTAACTACAGTTTTTGATTTGAGTAGGTTTTCTTAATAGAAATTACGCTTAAATTTTTAAGTTGTTGAACAAATTGCTTAATTTTTCTTTTTCTATTCTATTGTATTGTGTACTTGATTTATATTACAATTCATTGTTGTGTGTATTGCAGCGATTTTTATAAAATGAGAGAGATATTTAACACACCTACTTTTATATTTTACCTATTTATTTATAATATAATAAACATTAATCTTTTTTTTTTTTTTTTTTTTTTTTTTTTTATTTAATTTTGTCTTTCTTGTTTTTCTGTATTTTTTTGCGTATGATTAGGTCAAGTCGTTGCGAGTTGTATAAGCACTATCTTGCTGCTCTGCTTCGCCGCGCTCTTAAAGTGTAATTGTGCTGTTTGTTGCTGTGTATTATTCATAATGTATGCGTGTAATATAGAAGTCGAGTAATAAAATAATTTCAATGCAAAAAAGCAAAAAAAAAAAAAGAGGGGGAAAAAAGTGAGTAACAAACTTTAAACCGCAAAATTGCTGTCGCACAAATGTTTACTACATGTTAACAAATTCATGTTTAAATCAAATATTTTGACGTAAATTGCAATCAAGATTTTATCACTGGTAACGACATTAATGTTCGTTTTTTTTTTCCCCCCTTTTTATATTATTTCTATTTCTAATATTTTTTCTTCTTTCTTATTACGCTTTATCATTATTTGAATGTGTTGCGTTACTAACGTACGGATAAATATCTATTCATATCAACATCGTATACGTACATATAATCAATTATATGTGAATAAATGCAAGAAGTATTCATATGTTTGTGTCAAAAACTTATTAATAGTTTATATAATGCTTGTAGCAAATGACTCTAATGGATGTTAATGTTCTAGGTGGTCGCCGTAAATTTTATTATTTATTCTCTATTTTTATCATTACGATTAGCAGTATTGCGCTTGTAGTGCACAAGCAAGGTTAAATCAATAAAAAGCAAAAATTCTTGATCAATTCTTGCAATCCGAGCTGATGTAATAATGATACTTTAACCACTAGTTCTTTTATTTAAGTCTCGTTTCGCTTGCGCTCATTACCTTCAATCTTCTTGGAATCCGTCAACGCTTCTTCGCAAGGTAAGCCGCCATTAGCTATCACACCACTGTCTACTTCTGCGCTTTGCATTGCAAATATGATTTGCTGTATTTGACTACTTGAACCGCATACTTTTCTG